TCTCGAAAGGTATTGACCGACACCCGCTCAGATTTTTTCGTCATTTCACCTCTCATTTGGCCGCCTTGCCTGAACGTGAACTCGTGCGTGTAAAGCATCTGAAGTGATTTGTAAACATATTAAAGGCGTGCACGTGCCAGCCTCGACTCCTCCTTTACAGTGCTTATAGAATGAGTGTACGCCTCCGACTACAATGATGTTTTGTATCGCAACGAGCTTTGCGGTGGCGATTGGGTGGTGGGAGTGGTTGCCTGGGAGTATCCTGACCCTGGCCCATTAGACAGGCTCATTATTTGCATTTAACAGATTTTAAGCGCATTGTAATTGAGTCAAAATCTCCCAGTGAACTACATCGTTTCCTAAGGTCCGAATTTATTTAAATAACTACAACAAGAAAGAAAAGCTATCTTCGGTCGGAGCCGAAGTTGATATATCCTTGCAGAATATTCTGTAAATTATAATCTCCAAAACTATTTATATGATGCATTTTTAATACTCATAAAAAATCCCAACTTCCTAACTATAAAAACACCAAAGTTAAGAATATTTCTAATCGTTCAGTTATATGGCAGCTATAGGATATGGTCGGCCGATCCCGGCCGTTCCGACTTATATACTGCGTGCAAAGGAAAGAAGGGTGTGTGCAAAGTTTCAATTTGATATATTTAAAACTGAGAGACTAGTTGGCGTAGAAACAGACAGACGGACAAACGGACATGCTTATATCAACTCAGGAGGCGATCCTGATCAAGAATATATATACTTTATAGGGTCAAAGATGTCTCCTTCACTGCGTTGCACACTTTTGACCAAATTTATAATACCCTCTGCAAGGGTATAAAAATCTAGCCATTTGGAGAAATTTGATGTTTAACCAAAGTTACATTTATGACACTATTCTTAAATGAGTTATCTTAACGATCTTTGCACTAGTCAATGTTTAGCTGAATTTTCTTTTGAAAAATGAAAAAAAATGATAGTTGATGAATTTGAAAAAACAATTGGCCTAGAAAAAAATTGCGGAAAAAGTAAATAGGTAAATTTAGGAATTTAGAACTAGAATAACCCATACATTCATATTTCTTCCTGAAATTTAATTTTAAAACAATTTTTATTGCAATTGGCAGATAGAGCTGAAAACGTTATTTTTTAAACACCTTTTTAAACCCACAAAATTCGAATTAACTACACTCATAAGTGTATTTTTAAGGCTAGGAAAGCCAAATTCATTGTTCTTAAAAAAGTCACAATTTAAGTAAGTTGGTAAATTATAATTTAATGTGGATGTCAATAACATAGATTTTTTCTAAAAATCGTGTTCGGCACGATGCATGAGAGAATACCATCAAAGGTTATACATTTTGCTGAAATTGAAAATGATAGGAACACCTTGTATTTATTTAGAACTATACTCAATTATTTATTATTTCACAATTTGAAGTCTGAAATGTTGGGTGTTGAAGATGCGATTGTTATTAGTTCTCCTATATGCTATTACTATTGTCACAGCGAACAGCAGAAATCATTTACAATGTCCATGCTAAAGAAGGAAAATAATTTTTTGGGCTTTAATAACTTATACTGATATAAGTTCATTTCTATCTAACATCTTACATAATTTCACGTAGCGATGATGCTTACCTCGCACTAAGAATATTTTAAGAATAATCTGTAACAAGAAAGAAAGTTTACACCCAAAAAAAAACCGAAAGTGTAATTTTAATAAACGTGTATTAAAAAGAAACTATCGACAGTATTAAATTATACGTATTAATTCAATACCACATTTTAGTGGTTTTTGTCGCTTTAGTGCAAAATTCGTGAAGGTTGAAGACGTACGTACATATCTAAGTAAAATAAAATTGTTTAAAAAATAGGGCCATAACATTTTGTCCTTATTTGTAAATTGTACATAAATAAACTTAAGTACATTAACGTTATAATTTTACTGTGCAAAAACCGCATGCAAATAGTGGTGTTTACATATGCATGTTTTTATGTGCTTCGCCAACAGACGTATGTATATACATATATTCACATGTTTGTATCTATACGCGTGCGCAAATCACTTATGTATAAAACAATTCTTACCAGGGAAATACATAGTTCAGTTATGTTTATCATTAAGATATACGTTTTTTTATGCACAACATTTTGGAAGATTATTCAAAAAAATAAATTAATTTTTATTTTGACATGTACATTTAAAGGACAAATTTTTTTTTCAGTTTTTCAAATACTATAGTTATTTTGCTAGCTAAGTAAGAACAAATATAATTATTAAAACACATGTATATTAAATTTAATAAAGGAATAAAAATAAAAACAAGAGAGAACGCTATAGTCGGGTGCCCCGACTATCAGATACCCGTTACTCAGGTAAAGGGAGTGCGAGGGAGATGGAGATAGAAACTTTGATCACGCATAACTTTTTAACGAATGGTCCGATTTGAAAAATTTTCTTCTACATTTCGATAGGTATTGATAAACACAATAAAACTGCATTTTTACTTATCCGAAATATTTAAATTTTTAAAATCGTGTATAAGCGATTGTGGGCGTTAAAGGGGGCGTGGCACCATTGTGAAACAAACTTGCGCTGTGTAGGAACTTCTAAAATCTACATGCAAAATGCCAATCTACTAGCTTTTATAGTTTCCGAGATCTCAGCGTTCATACGGACAGACAGACAGACAAACGGACAGACGGACATGGCTATATCAACTCAGGAGGTGATCCTGATCAAGAATATATATACTTTATAGGGTCGGAAACGCTTCCTTCTAGCTGTTACATACTTTTGCACGAATACAATATACCCTTTTACTCTACGAGTAACGGGTATAATAAATACAAATTCGGATTTCTTTTTATGGGAATGATGCAAACTGTATACCACAGCTCGCAGCCAATAGTATACGGGTTATACGAAATAATATGTAAACTAACCGAATTTAAGACAAAATTTCGTCGTAAATCGGTCGTGCTTATATTTTTTACCAGACAAAACGTGTGGTCACCCATAAAATTCCTGCACATCGCAAGTGAAAAGCGTAAGCGACTCAAAAAGTAGCAGAAAATAAAGGATTGATATTAATGCGCTATGTTTTGTTAATTTTAAGCTAATAACTTTTTTACACATTTATCTATTGTGTTGAAAGTGCAGAAGAAAATGTAGTTTCTATTATTTTACCACCACTGTAGCTCTTATATAAACCAATTTTATTTTACTTGTTTTAAGCTGGGATCTCTATTAAATAATTAGCTATGCTTTTTAAATTAAAGTGTTATGTTTTCAATGTACATGCGATTGTTTATTCAAATCTTTTTTGAATGTTTCTTTGGGAAAAATATTGCCAGTGTTTGCTGAGGAATTTTGTTTTTGGTCTGCGACAACGGTCCAATGGCGATTTGCCATTAGTTTTAGGGAAACCCGTCTAAACAAGAAGGAAAACAAAATTCGGCTAGGCGAAATATATATGAGTTTATTATGATTTTCGAAAGAAAAAAAAGTGAATTCGTCACTATGCCAGCTATATGATATAGTTTTATTATTAAATTGATTGATATTAAAATAAAATTTAATTTCTAAAAATACTAAAAATGGCTTTATTTTGTAGAGAATGCGCATATGTTTAAAAACAACCTAGTTTTTTTTTTTAACTAGAAATTATATATCTTAAGACAATGATATACATAGGTAGGATTATTGCAAGCATTGCAAAATCCATGTACTTTTTACAAAACATTTTTGAAATGTTTTTTATTTTAAAAAAATAAAATAAATATAAATATAAATATAATAAAGGAAACAGGTTAACCCTGGCAATCTAAAAAGTTTAAATGGAAATCTTGACGATTTCCAAAATTATTATATTTTATACAACTCGTTTCATTCGACACGATGCAAGGGGAAAATGAAAATATTTTACTGCAGGTGGCCCAAAATGTTTTATAAGATTTAATATATGTATATTCAGATACAAATTTTATATAAGAAATTTCGGATGACGAAGTTGCGATCGTCCAAACTTTCTTACCTCGCTAGATAAAATTCGACTTGCCGATTTTAATATAATTTCATAATTTCACATCATCTAAAGTAGTTCCATAAGTACTGAGCAATCTTTATAGTGAAAAAGGGCACGAAATCCCAACCAGAACCACCCACATCGCACGCTGACTTAACCTCGCTCGAAGCGACAGCAACAGAAGCAACAACAAAGCGGGAGGTACAAAAAGCACACAACTTTAAGGCCAAGAATAAAATTAAATACGAAAAATAAGCAAACGCGCTCAAAAAAACCAAATAAATAAGACCTGGTCGATGTTCTTGAACTTTTTGCCTTCTTCGGCAGGGGCAGGGGTGGGGAAGTCGACCAGGAGCGACGGCGGACGTAACAGCAACAGTATTAACAACCAGAGCTGAAGAAGCAGCAGCGACAAGCGACGACTCCTCTGGGAGTGTAAGTGTGGGTTCGCCTGTGCGTGTTTGGACCAGCGTACATCCTTTGCGAGTCGAAATTCCTGTCACGGGCTCCGCATACAGCTTCCATTCGGGGTCCATCTCCATCCAGAATGACTTCTGCCGCTCTGCTCCCGGTCCTCCTGATTGCTGCCGCTGCATTATTCATGTTTGGCAGCCGGCCAACGGCCTAAGCCCCTTTGCGAGGGTGGGCGGGGCGCGTGGGGTGACCGGCAGGCCGGGGTGAGAGCGGTGACAACACACCACGCCCTCTCCGGCCGCTGGCAATGCGATAGAGCGGGAGCGAGCTACTGGCGCAATCAGCTGAGAGCGCCGCCATTTGCCACGACTGGAGTGCTGACGCCGAGCGTGTGTGTAAGCGAGCTGGCAACAGTCGCGCGGCACCGCACTCTCGCCCTCACTCACACAGGCGCGCGCACAGCACGCACACAGGCACACGGTGTACAGGGCTGTTGAGTTTTTCAGCTTCTGACGCTGCGCTCGGATTGCGGCGAAACACTCGCAGTTTCTCAGCTGCGCCGACTGGTTGTTCTCGCGCCTCTGAACAAATCGGTTGCGGACTGTAATCGGTAATCGAATTTCGAAAGCGCGTCGGTTTCTATTTAACGCGCAAGAACAACAACAACAGCATAGCTGTCGCGGGTCGGGATTGCGAGTTTGATTTAAGCCTGCCTGGGGTTTCGGTTTGCCAGAATAGAGCCCAAACGGGCTACAGACCCCGGCAGCTGCTTATTGAGCTATCAAACGACGGCCGGAGCAGCCGAATGTGAGGGGAGCTGAGAAAACGGCCAAAAACTAAAGGTGGATCGGGAACTGCTTGACCATAAACAACACAACGCAGCGCTGAGGACGAAACCGCATCCGCCTCTCTAATGTCTTATCAGTGGCACGCATCGTCGACTGCCGTAGGAAGAACCCAACAAAGGCCGACCTCTACCACTCAATTTGGATCTGGTGTGCCATTCTCGCGCTGTCTCGTAAATTAATGTCATAAATTTTCTTTAAACTCTGTCCGCTAACCGCCCGTTGTCACCGTCCCCAGATCGGCTCTCCGTCTGTGCGGTCGGGACCCAGAGACGGTTCCTAATCGATCTAATCATCCTACCTGGCCCGGAGTCAAGTGTTTCAGTGAATGCTTCGTGCATGCCCGTGTGTGACCCCAAGTTCCTTAAAATACCTTGATGCTGAATCGAAAGTTAAATAAATAAGCGCCAGTATAATAGTATTTATGTATGAATTAAGTATAGGCATGCCAATCGTGCCCATCTGTAAGACAACGCCGAAGTGATGCATCCATCCCCACACGGTCGTGGATCAAGCTTCTTACACACATATCCTCAGCACGCCAAGTCGGCTCCACAGACCAACCAATCGCGATCAGTGTCTAGTGTCCTTTAACACGGCAAGCCGAGGACCACAGGATTACCTAGGACCAACATAGCACCACAGCCTTTCAAGGAGGCGCAAGATTCGCAGAACAAAGCACACAGCCAAAACAACGACAAACATACCACGCCCGACGGATATCATCCTTGGAAATAGACCTCGTGTCATTCCAAAAGGCGCACATGGGCGTCTGCACCGAGGAGCGCCCTGTGATGCATTGGGTAAGTTCTCCCGCGGGGCTCTAATAAATCCAAGTCTGCCACTGATAAGCCCGACTAATTCATGCAGCCCCAAGTCATCCCAACGCTGCCCTTTCTGATTAATCTCGACCTGTGCCTGGGTTACTCGGAGTTATCAATGCCAGACCGAAAGCTAGCGCATTCCGACTAGCTCCGCACAGTGGCGATAAGGAACCCCCTTCGGCTACGGTTTAATAGCGATTCCTAGAATTTTTCAATATTTCTCTCTCTGTGCGTAGTTTTTGTTATGAGTTTAATCACAAAGATTAAATTTATGTACCGCCTCTAAAAAAGCTGTAGTCTGACCAGGGCTTTCACTCTTTCTTAGTTTGCATGCAAAATCACTGTGGACAGGCGTCTACACAAAAGCATCGAAAGTGTGAGGAAGAAGACTGATATATATATATAGGAGAAAAAAATTAAAGTTTTAAGAATAAATTGTGGTGGAAGCTAATTATATTAAATTTAAAAAGATGGATTTGGGGAGTCAGGTGGATCAAAATAAATCGGGAAACATGGTAGTTAAGCGAAAAACAGCGAACAAATTTTAATCTTTTCCGCACCCGCGGTTTCTAAACGACTAAAAAACGTAATAAATGCCGTTGCGCGGAATTAACGGAGTTTAGATGATAAAAATATTACTATAAATCGCGCTCATTGCTAGCTTTGACTATTTCCTTATTTTCATATCTTTTTTTATCCATACCGGACATCTACACTATTTTTATAGAATTATAAGAGGATAACTATAGGAGAGTCCTTCCGTGTGTCTGTCCGTTTCTACGCAAACTAATACCATTGTTTTAAAGCTATCTGCTTAAAACGTTCCCAAAAGTTGTCCTTCTATTGCAGTTTGTATATAATTCGGAACGAGCCGGATCGGGTTACTATATCATATAGCTCCCATAGAAGAATAAACAAGAGAGAACGCTATAGTCGGGTGCCCCGATTATCAGATACCCGTTACTCAGGTAAAGGGAGTGCGAGGGAGATGGAGATAGAAACTTTGATCACGCATAACTTTTTAACAAATGGTCCGATTTGATAAATTTCTTCTACATTTCGATAGGTATTGATAAACACAATAAAACTGCATTTTTACTTATCCGAAATATTTAAATTTTTAAAATCGTGTATAAGCGATTGTGGGCGTTAAAGGGGGCGTGGCACCTTTTTGAAACAAACTTGCGCTGCGTAGGAACTCCTAGAATCTGCATGCAAATGCCAATCTTCTAGCTTTTATAGTTTCCGAGATCTCAGCGTTCATACGACACAGACAGACAGACAGACAGACAGACGGACAGACAGACGGACAGACGGACATGGCTAGATCGACTCGGCTAGTGATCCTGATCAAGAATATATATACTTTATAGGGTCGGAAACGCTTCCTTCTAGCTGTTACATACTTTTGCACGAATACAATATACCCTTTTACTCTACGAGTAACGGGTATAAAAAATTCAAAAAAACTTTTATTGTGCTATTTTTTTATTTATCAAAATATTCCTTTGAGATACGGTTTTAGTTTTGTCAAAATCGGATAACAATATCATATAGCTGTCATAGAAACGATGGCAAAATGCAGCGCAAAATCGACATACCTTCATTGTTTTTAATAATATAGGCATAGAAATCGTTTTCTAATAACTGCAAGGGTATATAAACTTCGGCTTGCTACCATTCTTGTTTGTTAAATGAGTTCTATGCGTACACATTCTAAGACAACGGAGCCATGTACTTATGCCAAATAAAGAATTTTGGTAAAGTTTCATTCAAATACTTTCAAGATTGATAGACTAGTTTGGGGAGATCGACTCAACTGATGGTTCTGATCAAGAATATTTTAAACAAAGTCTTCTGATACCAAACAAAATCGCCTCTTAACTATTACACCTTTAACAACCAAAATATTTGCTATCAAATATTGTGGAGAAAATTAATAAATAGCAAATGGAAAATGTTTCATCATTTATTTCCGGCTCTGCAAGGGATAATACATAATAATAATGTACATTAATGACTTGAACACTCATATTTTTCAACAAATTAAAAATATGTATTAGGTATTCTAAAATTTTTTTTTTCATATTCGGTAAAAAGGTGATTTTAATATTTTGATTTTTGACTGCCATATTGTTTTGGCATTTAATCCATTCAATGCAGGATTTTTTTAACTATCGTTGTACCATACTTTTCCCAAAATTATATCGAGCCTGTTAAAGTTAAAGGTTTTTTTTTATTTTACCCTTCAAAATATGGATATGCCATTGGTTTTTAATCGCTTTAAATGGGGACTACAACGTGAACAGTTTCACCAAGTTGTTATAGTATTCTTTGAAAGCTTTATTACCTAATAGATGCAAAAATTTTATATACATATTTACTTAAAATCTTTGTTCTCTGCTGACAATATTTAAACAATGCTAGAAGAATTTTCTTAATATAAATTACCGCTTTGTCTCGATGGCAAGGAGAAGAATCGTCCTGAAAAACGATTGTATCTGGGTACCAACAATAAAATCAATTAATACCCAATCACCAACTACATAGAACGGAAAACATCTCCAAACCATAGGGAATCCACCATGCCTGACGTTGCACCAGTTCATCTTTGAACAGTTCTCCGATTTTGCGGCGAACGAAGGACATTCCATCGAAACCAAATAAGTTTATTTTAAATACATCTGTAAATATTAGGTTCCTCCAATCGTTTAATGCCTCAGATTCGTGCATTTATTCCCATAGTAACGCTTTTGAATTGTTATGGTTTTTTCGCTGGGCTGCGCCCATGAAAGATTGAAGGCGTCGTACAGTTCGACTGCATATATTATTCCTTCAGATTAAACATTCTCTGTTTTTACATTTTCTGCAGTTTTCAATCGATCAGACATGCTTTTGTGCCAGGGTTTCGCTCTAGAATTTCGGTTTTTACGCAATCTTTGGTGCTTATTTCACGGATGCTTAAACTTTCTAATCCCAAAGCACCTTTATCGGCTTCTATTTGTTTCTCACACAAAGCTTTATGAACACAACTCTTGTCGGTAAGTTAAAATATAATTTGTATTAATTCGGACTATAGCCGATTACACTCATAGAACGCATATAGAGGTCAAAAATAGGTGTCCAGATTTCCCCAGATGTAGGTAAGAAGCAAAAACATTTTACTGCAGCGAGCCGAATTAGGAAATTGCGCAAAGTTCACAAAGTTCGATTGAAAGTATTCCCAAATTACAGAAATCAAATAATTTCAAATTTTTGGTCAATGGTGCGAAAAAACCATTTCACTATAAGATTTAAATATATATCTATTATTTTTTTTGTTATAAAGGATGCTACCCCAATCCACTTGGGTAAAAAATGCAGTGTTGCTAAAATCCTATTAAAGGTATTTAGTGGTTAGCGAATGTACAATATATTTTTCATTAAAGGGGTAGATTTCGAATTTTAAAATCGTGAGAGAAAATCTATTACATAGGCAATTTTAAGCAATATTGACAAACAAGTAATGGTAATACACTTTACTACTTTATTTATTTATTTTATTTTAAGAAACAAGTTTTTCATTTCAAAATCGTTTTTAATATCAAATCGAAAAATTGTATTTCTGCCATCCCAAAAAATTGCCAAGACACTTTCCCGATTCTATTCAGTGTGACGTCAGAAACACTGAACAATAGTACAATACAACGTGGCTATATTTATTCGATCAATATCTATGAACACGCAATCTCTTTTTCAATTTATGAGAAACAAAAAAATATACGTGAAATTCTCATGCGACAAAAATGACAACACTTCAAACAAAAATTCGTTGGCTTTTTTCCTCCTTGTTTTCATTATACCTACTGGATGTTGGGTACAATCAGCTCCGAGCTAGAGATTTATCTGTTTTTCTCTGACTGGAGTAGTGGGTCCGGAAATCATCCAGTCATGAGCTATAATAATTACTATCCCACATGGCACAAAATTTCTTAGTCAAATCATCCAATTCAACTGTCGTTTGAGTTTAACAAAAAGTAACTTTAATCAACAGTAAATGTTATAAAATACATAACGAATTTTATGGCGATCAAATCGAAACTGAGCTATTCAAAGTACATATGAATTTTCTTGATCAGGGCTCTAGCCAGGCTTCTCTCTCGTTCTGCCGACTTACGACAACCGTAAGAAGTGCTAATATTGTCAAAAAGATTAGTAGTCCTACTCATTTTGAATCGCCAGAATAATTCCGAGGGTCTGGTATATGTTTTTAAATATGGCTCTGAATTGCAGAAGATTACTTATCAGATGATTGTCCAATTAGTAAGAAAATTAGTTTTTAGTCGTTTCTTCTGATCAAACACACATAATCGAATAAGTAATATTAAAAATCTATTTGTATACCCTTGCAGAGGGTATTATAATTTTGGTCAAAAGTGTGCAACGCAGTGAAGGACCCTATAAAGTATATATATTCTTGATCAGGATCGCTTCCTGAGTTGATATAAGCATGTCCGTCTGTCCGTCTGTCTGTTTCTGCGCGAACTAGTCTCTCAGTTTTAAAGATATCGAATCGAAACTTTGCACACACCCTTCATTCCTTTGCACGCAGTATATAAGTCGTAACGGCCGGGATCGGCCGACTATATCCTATAGCCGCCATATAACTGATTGATCGGAAATGCCATAACTTTGGTGTCTGTAAAGTTAGGAAGTTGGGATTTTCTATTGGTTTTATTTTTGGCCAATCAATCCCACTACCATTTCATAAGGATCGGCTGACTATATCCTATAGCTGCCATATAACTGAACGATCGGAAATGCCATAACTTTGGTGTTTTTAAAGTTAGGAATTAAGAAAGTTAGTATTAAGAAGGCATCATATGAATTATTTTGGATAATATAATTTACAGAATATTCTGCAAGGGTATATCAACTTCGGCTCTGCCCGAAGATACCTTTCCTTTCTTGTTTTTAGCTTATTTGGTCTGAAAATATTT